CACTGTATCTAAGAAATATAAAATTCAAACATAGCAGATACCTGTTCTGGAAATGTATCTATTACCTACTTATTTGTCATGATTACTGAGTTTGGAATCAAGCAGCCACAATTTAGAAGAATTACAAGCAGAATTATTAATAATGTAAACTAATCACAGGACAGATTAGTTTACTCAGCCAAAAATAACCTTTGAGCAATGCTAAATCTCTCCTTTTTGCCTCAGATGAACTAATATTTGAAATGTATAGTACACATGGATCACATTAGGAGAACGCCAAGCTTGCGTACACACAGCTTGTCTGGGGGAATGCAAAGCCCATCTAGAACTAAGGTTGATAAACATACAGATCCTGAGGCTTCTTAAACTCACAGCCATTTTATTTTACCAAGGTTCAGCTGAAGCCTCAAGTCCTTTGTACATGATAACTGCAGAAAGATTATTATATGCAAAAGGCGGAAATGTTGGACACCACCCACAATGGAGGAATGGATGGTGAGGGTGATGGAATTTGCTGAGAGGGTCAAACTGATCCCTTTGATCAGAGAGAAGCCATACTTATTTATTATTGACTGGAAACTCTTATAAACTTTGTGCGTAAAACACAAACAAGTGAATTTAGGATTTCGATGAAAAAACCAGTTTACAAAAAAAAGACTGCTATGTGGTAACCATAGAATATATATAAGTAAAATGCACATTTATATTTAGAACTGTGGTAAAAAAAAAATCAGAAGCTGCTTTTTTATACATCTTTCTTTTGCACTTTTGGCTTTGTCTTTCTCCCACCTCCCTTACCTTTATTCTATATTACATAGTTTGTTAGTTTTTAATCTTTTTAACATTTTAGTACACAGACTCCGAGTCCAACAATGTAATATTTCTCACTTAGAGAAATGCTACAAGGCAATGCAAAGATACAGTGTTTTAGGGTAACAGAGAAACAAGTGCAAAAGGGTTAAAAGAAAAAAAAGTATTCTGGCAGAGATTAGCACTGCCGTCATGTTCCATGAAATTAACACTGTGTGCTAATGGGCAGCCAAGACTGCAACTACAGCTTGACTTTAATCACTGGGCAGCTCCTGGGAGAGGCTGAACCCAGATTCCCACCCCTGTAATCTGTAGGATCTGATGAAAACAACTTGGATTGATTTAATTTGGAACTCGCAAAACCTGGAGTCCGGTCTCCATTCTCCACTGCCAAAGTGAGATGACATTTACTCATGGTCAGACTAATCGTGTTCCAAGCAAGAGAAGAGGAAATAAAAGTTTTGCCTTCATCTGGACAGAGTATTTGATTTCTGCTGCTAGGTAAACAAAATCCATCATGAACAATGTATTCTCTGGAAGCAGAAATCTGGCTGCAATTGTGGGCAGGACCAATACCCAAGGCCACCTGGATTCCTGACAAGTGCTAATAATTTGACTAAACGACCTTCGGGATTTGTTTGTACAACCAGCACACTCTTCTCATCCCATGCTATTATTTTGGGTTGCACAAGAGCTGCTGCTTATTGTAGTGATCTTTTGGCAATTCTAACCACCTCTGTTTCAAACCAAGCCATCTTAAAAAAAAAACTTCTAAACATAATTAACTAACTAGGATATTATTAAACTTAAAAAACTCCAATAAAAACAAAAGTTCTTTTTTATCTTCAAAAAATAATGAACTTCTTTTAATTCTTTCAACGCCATAAACTTTTCAAATGGTCTAAAGTCTCCTGGTGTGCTGTTACTTAGGGAAAAAAGAAGATGGTGAGGTTTTAATTGCAGGACAAAGCAGAGAATGAGTTCAGGGCCAGGTTCTGAATGGAAAAATCACTTCGTCTTCAAAAATCACTTCAGAAGCTCTGTTTCAAGGGCCCCATGGACAGGGTCTCACTCACATTCGCCAAAAGAGGAAGGAGAAAGCAGCTGGAATAGAAGCGGTTCTCCTTGTTCATGTGCAGGCTAGATTACGCCAGAAAATCACATGTTCCTTGTCCTTGCATTAAAGCACCGTCATAAGAATTTCCAATGATCCAACAACTATTATGGAGGAGGTATGTATTCCGTTAAAAAGCTGACACAAATAGCTATGGAATACTTACTTCAAAGTATTCAAATCTCCAGTGGTAGGTGAACAGTGCCCAGAGAAAGAGAGTCTTGCAAGAAATGTTTTCTGCCCATAACTGTTCAAAAATTCAGGATTTCAAAACTGGTGTGTGTGTGACCATTTATAATATTTTGAAGTCGAGTTTTATTTAGCAATCTGATGTTTTATGCCAGTCGCCTAGTTTGCTATTTTTTTAAAGTGCAATATACTTGGCTGGGAGGGGAGGGGGGGAGACAAATGTTTCAAAATTGTTTGGGGCAGCCCAACTATCTATTATAAAAATGAAGGATTTCTGATATAACATTTGTGTGGAGTTAAAAGCAGGGCTGCAAATTCTCTTTCCTCCTATTTGATGGGCATAATTTATCCTCTTTTGGAATAAGACTCGCTGTTAGGAAAGCTTGATGCTTGGCTGCTCGGAAACTATGCTTCCCCATGCACAGTAAAGAGTTGCATTGCCAAAATATCCAGTTATCTTTTTTTGTGATACTGAGGCTGCAGAATCATGGGATGGATTATAAACTAAATAAAGTGACACTGCACATTAAAAAAAAAAAGATTTGTATTCAGCCTTCCTTAAACAATGTTGCTAAAACTATTTAATAACTTTCCCTGAACTGCCTTTTAATCAGCCAGGGACACAGCTGTCTAGTTTGGATTAAGTGTCAATTTCTTTTTCTTCATCCAGTCCATGATTAATATGGGTCTTCAACAGTTTATGGTATTTTACTCTTGAGAATTTTAACTACAGCTGGAAAGATCTAGATTGTCTAGATCCAAGACTTATTCACTGGAAAATAGAAGGGCAGACCTATAATACTACTTTCTTTTTATTTATCTTGGAAACCTTATTGCCCACTCACCAAAAATTGCTGGAAATAGTACACCTCCAATCCTAATTAGGACTTCATTTTCTTAAATGTGTAATCAGTCACAAAATCAATGATTTCATGAAATAAATTATATAGTTCCAAGAATGCTTGTTCAGTATGAAATCCAAAACATGCACAAGTCATATTACATTCAACAACATTGCTGGTTAGCAATGTGAAAATAAATGGAGCTCCAACAATCAACAGATTTTAATTCTGCTACGTACATAATTGTTCACCAATGTTCCAAGAAGAAATTTAAAAAACTATTATTCCTTGGTCTTTCTAGGTAAGATTGGGGTAGATTTCAGTTTTAAGATGTTGGAAGTCAGTTAATGTAAATAACTTTATAAATGTCCTAGATTCCCATTCTAGAAGATGCAAACCTTTTCCTGTCATATCATGTTACTATATTTATGAAAGAGATCATTTTGCCAGCAAACTTGAGTAGAGAGTTTAACTTATACATGCTGATGTGTGGACAGTACAGTTAGAGGTATATTAACATTGCGAATACTACATATACACATTATGAACATATCCTTTACTGCAATTCTCTCCCTCTGAAAAATTCCTGCCAACTACCATGATTACAAAAAAGCTGGTATTTTGCTTGCTAATTTAGTTTTTCTTTTCTTTTCTTTTCCTTTTGTGTGATGCCTCTAAGAATGTAAATTATTATTTTCAACTAAAAACAATGTTCTAGGCATTAGGTTTTGCTGGCATGTAATTTAGCAGTAACAAAGTCTACACATGTAATTTTGCTTCTCAGCAATCCTGACATTTTGTGCAAAGAAGAGTTGACCTCTAAGACAGTTGATTATTTCATTAGACAATACCAACATACAATTATAAGAATGATCTAGAAATAACTGGATTTAGCTATATATATATAACTTTATCTTCAGCAGGAGGATGTCAGCATGGCTATATTTTAGCAAGTATTAGAATAAAAACTCACCATATAATCGTACTTGTGTTTTAAGTTCCAGCGACAAATAGGACAGTTACCAGAAGGATTTGGAGGGCTTGGGATTTCCACATTGTCTATCATTTTGCCTTCGATCTAAGATATTAAGAGCAAACTGATGAGGGAAATTTTGAGTCCAAGTTTCAAAAACTGCTGTTTGATTTTCTACATTAATTTATTCAGCACATAAAACATCAATACATTGAACTGCAGAAAAGGATAATTAGACTTAGCTGTTACCAACTTACATTTCAGAGAATGAACTTGAAAAAAGGGAAAAAATACTTTGAATTTTAAGTAGCAGTTTGCAAGTATCACTTTGTTCTGGAATACTAGAAACAGATACTAGTGAACCTGTCTTAGAAAGGAGACACATTCTGTCTAGTTAATTAACTCCTCTTCAAAGCAATAGAGCCCACAGTCCCACCTAATCATGCTCTAACTTATCTCATAATTGCTTCTTGAATTACTAGAATGTTGCACATTTCCCAAAGCTGCTCCACTAACTTTAAAATATCTAAAGTTATGGGAATTCATAACATGTTCTTTGAGGTAGTATTTTAACAAAAAGTTTAATTGACAAAAGGCATTTTCTGTCAACTAGGTTCCTATTCGTATTCTAAAAGAAGGTCTCAGGACATATTTGCTGTCACCTCGAAATGACTTATTCATAAAGTGGGTAAATAAAATGAGTTATTGGTTAAAGCCTCAAATTGATTTAATGTGGTTATTAGTACACAAGAACTATATTCAAATGAATCAATTAATCAGAATAGAACTGGAAGGAGTCTTCTAGTCCGCCCCCCTGCTTAAGCAGGAGACCCTATACCATTTCAGACAAGTGACTATTCAATCTCTTCTTAAAAATGTCCAGTGATGAATGTTAGTGTCACTTGGCCCAAAAAATTGTATTGCAATTTAGACAGCAAAAGCCTTTATTAAACAACTCCATATGAAGCATAATTACTTTGGAAAGGTCCTGAAAATTAAAGTGTATGACCATGACTTCACCACAAGTGTTTTCACAAAATGATGCTAAGTGCTGGATGGGAAAGCAATGCACTTTTCTCACAAAAGAATTTTCTTTTTGCCTTTGTTTTCAACTTGACATTTATGACACCAAGAAAAGAAGCAAACTATCCAGGCAAACATTTTCAGATTACAGTAATAAACCAGAAGAGAAATAAAAATAAACATTTGCAAAGCACATTTAATGTTATCTGTGTTATGTTCTTAACATCACAGAGTATTATTTTTCTTGTGAGTACATTCAATCAACAGCAATACTGTTTCAGTAGAAACAAAGAGGGTCCTAGAAGTTCATAATCTTTATTCAGACTTGCAGACATCACTATCCTGTAAAAAACTGTGGTTTTTACTGAAGTAACAAGGAATTATAATAACAAGTTCTGAGGACATATTCAGAAGGTTAAAATAAGGAGTTAGGTAAGCTTTGTTCATAACCATATCAAGATTTAAATGCATATTTATTATTCATTGAAGGTTACTGTTCCATTTTTCAGTTGAAAGTTAATGGTTTATAAAAGTTAATATTTGCAATTCAGAAAATACAGCACGCTTACCGTTGTGACGTTCCCTTCAGTAGTTTCTACAACTGCAAACACAAAAATGTGAAGAAAATATTAGATATATTTAAATACAATAAAAAAACTGGGGTGATGAAGAATATTTTAAAATTGCTATGATCTAGTAATAAATATAGTATTAGAAAATGAAATGATATTTGAAGAAGTTAATATGAAATCCAATACTCCAAATATGTTTTCTAATATTACTCCACAAAACTGCCAGAGTGGGCAACAAATTCAATATATATGAAAGGGAAGAAAGTCTGCCTATTTTTCAGATTACTGAAACATTATACATACAGTAATCATCAGCAATAATTATGTGAAAATAACCTGAACCAATTAGCCTATCAAGTATTTTCAGGGTGAAAATAATAGGTAGCATGTACTCTTCTAAATAGCTTGCCATTCTGGGGAATGTGGGGATGATCCTTTCCTAAGTGGAACAACTTGATATTCTGGGGAACAGAGAGAAATAAACTAGCTGAAAAGTGTCTATGACACAAGCGATGGAAGAGTCATCACAAGGTACAGTCTCTTGTCAAAGTTTCTTATCATTATGGCTGTGGGGGCAGCAAAATTTATCCTCTTTTTCGACATCTCAGAGAATACTTCCTAACAGTTCAGCACTTTTCATACTATAAAGGATTCTTCTTTTATGATGCATATTCACAAATAGTGAAAAAATATTAATTAAAATCATTAATAGCTGCATAATTCAGAAATGGTTATTTAATCACCTACAAAAATGGGAAGTTATTTATTTTGCCCTAGTCAATGAATGAATTTCAAATCCTGAAGTTAAATACACAAAAAGCTGGGTGGTTAAGTATAATCCATTTTATGTGTGTCTTTTTTTGCTCTTGTCTAATAGTTTCAAGTACCCAGAGTGTGTATTCCTGTCTCCTTTAGAAAAGGTAACAGCTCAATTTCAGGAATGTTTCTTTGAAAAATCTCCCTCTCCGCCCCAACTATTGGTGCGCCCCAACTATTGGTGGCCACCTCTTTCACGGTTGAAAAGAATTAAAGCCATGCATTCTGGAGTAAAAGGGAACGGTGAAACTTCTCCTGTATCCAGTGTTTTCCTTATGTGCTGATGGCAGGGATTTCTTCTTGACCTTGTTTTCAGCTAGGATGGGGTCAATTGTTTCCCCTAACAGATTCTTTTCTCTGTACGTTTTGTCCACAGACTATACTGACTGAGGGTCTTTTATGCTCCCTGAACTTGATTGTTTTCTTGCAGATATTTCATTGCCCAAACTAGTGTAGGTTTTATTATGAACTCAGCAATTACACTTTGTGATGTGAGTAGTGTCAGCTAGAGTCTGTGAACAAGAAGATGTAGCAGAAAGTTTACTAAAGATGGGGGGAGGGGGAGAGATGGAGTAATTTCAAGATGTGAAAATGTTGTTGTAAAGTAGCACTGTTAAAAGATACAAAAATGTCTGCATATAAGAGTGAACTCCTGCCCACTTGGTTATATGAAATTGAGAGGCTGGTATGTTGGGAAAACACACATACTGACTCTAGGGAGAATAGAATGCTTAGGAGACGGTATGATAAAGAACAGAATTGGGTAGAAAATGAATACTGCAGTAAGTTCATTAAGACGGTTTTGATCACATAAAAAGCATGAATGAGAATTCAATGGTAAAACAAAGGAGGATTAAATGGGTTGAGAAGAAGTGGGACACGAGTACATTATTGTTAATTAGACTTAATGAGATCCTCAATCAAAACAAAACAACACAATAAAAATGGGAGAAAGAGCCAAAGAGAATATATGAAACATGTGGACATGACAGAAGCAAAGATAACAGGCCTAAGGCTCTTACTATTTGCAGGGGAACTCTCTAGAAATCAAAGTGGAACGAATCAATGTGATACGGGAGAAGCTGCCATGAAAAAGATAGAATTTGAAAATGAATCAAATCCCATTGGCTATGGAACAAAATAAATAAAATCTCACATGTGAGAT